TTCCTCAATTGGATGGTAGAGGCCAGGTTTTTGAAACGTCCCATTTGCACTGTAAGGAAAGGCTGTGTCCCGCTCAGGATGGATTGCAGACTGAGCTGGTGTGGGACAAGAGAAGGTAGGAGAAATCAGGGGTTTGAGCTACTCAGAGCAAACTTTTGATACATTTCTTAGAATCGCCCTGTGAACCATTTGCAATGGACACTTTACCAGCAAGCGTCTTGCCCGTCCTTCCCCCGGGAAGGCTAGTTCTGATCTGAGCTTGTGTCAGCTCGTCAGGGCTGTTGGGGGCAGGACAAGTCCATTAAGGAAACAGCAGAGCTGCTCATAAAGAAGCCATTTGTCCCCACGGTTCCCAGGCAAGACCCGTGGAAATCTAGTCCGCTTCTAGTCAAATCCCTGTACCCCGCCATGTGAGGGAGGGCAGAGAGAAGAGATTGAAGAGAGAAACATACGAGTATTTCCATTCCACAAACTTTTAAGGGATGTAATTTATAAGAAATACAAATCATTTTTCAAAAAAAGAGATTTTGATAATGACTATTCATGATTCTCCATCAGTAGCATGTGAGAGGTTTTTTCCTTCTGCTGGTCCTTATTTTCTTCCTTTCCTCCTCTCTCACCCTGCTCTCCAATATTTATTCAGCACGTTACGCACCAGCCACCAGGCCAGGCACAGAAAGTGGGGGCGGGAAGGGGAGCTACAAAGATTAGGAAGACCCAGACCCTGCCCTCCAGATAAAGTTGCATATTTAATTTTCAGGCAGAGANTGTAAAATTGAGTCTTGTTCATCATTGTCTCTGCAGTAAATCCATCCAGTAAATGTTGGTGTGATGAGTCAAAAAGATAAGGAATGAATTGGAACCCAACTGTAGGTCAGACACACAAATACACACACCTGTATTTGAAATCTGACTCTGCCCCTAACTGGTGTGTACCCACTACTGAGCCTCAGTTTCTTCCTCTGTAGAAAGAGGAAAATAATATCTGCTTCACTACGTTGTTCTTTGGTTTGGTTTGGTTTGGTTTGGTTTTTTAACAAAAGAAACAAACTCAGTGAGATAAATAAGGTAAAATGCTCAGCCTAGTCTTGGCCCATGATAAGACCTTAATCAGCGACAGTGAATAGTGTTACTAACTTTATGAATTAATTTTGGGGTACCCCTCCACCCAGGAAGCCAGGATATTACCGAATGTCTAACCCCCTTCCCTTTTGCTTAGGTTTAATACCCACTTCCTCCGGAATTATCATCAGCTGTCTTGTTGGCATTCTGAATAGAGAGATTAATGAACTAATAGGAAATTATGCTCCGAAAGCAATTTGCAGTTATCTAAATTGAGGCGTTTTCATCTAATAGGTTCACGCGCGTGGAATGGAGTCTCATGCTAAGTGATTGGATGTCAGCACAATCCAAGTATTGTCTGATAACTGTGGATTCAGCTGGCTGAAGTTTGCCTTTGCAGGAAGACGCTGATGGGTTTCCCAGCCCTCAGTCACGTGTTAGCTAAGCACCTTCCTCTCAGGGTCCGTCCACAAGTTTCTGGAGAGCTGAGGTCTGGTTCCCTGGCACCTCTCTGCCCCATCTGGGCTTCTCGAACGAAAGTGTGCGATGGTGGTTTGGGCGGCTTGTGCTCTAGAAAACAAGAGTTGGAACCAAGGTGCTTTCTTCCTGCATGGCTTCAGTGTGGAAGGGACAGGGCGTCTTCTAAAACCACCATTGGAGAAGTAGCCTTGTAACGATCTTTTATGGGTGTTTTAGCCACCCCCATGGTCTTCTTTTATAGACTGTGCTTTCCATCTGGTCAGGTCAGTGGCCCCAGCTGAGTGTCTGCCACGTGAGGGATTCTGTGCTCCCATCTGGGGGACGAGGATGAAAAAGACATCCTCTTTTTCTGCCCTTCAGTTGCCCACAGTCACCCCCAGTTCTCAAGACGTGCCCCATCTGAAACTATAATTAAGTTAGGTGTTAAGTCCAGGATCATGGTGGAAGCTTACAGCTGTAGTTTCTGAGTCCCTCCTTAGACTTCCCGGCCCAGACTCGGGGGATAGGGAGTAGAAATCCACATTTTTTAGTAAGTCTCCTGTCTGGCTTCCTCATATTTGTGCTAAGGTGTGAGTGGAGAACATGGTTCTAGAGGGAGGGATAGGATAAGCAGTTGACTCTTGAACAATGCAGGGGTTAGGGGTGCTGACCCCCCACACGGTCAAAAATCTGTGTATAGCTTTCAGCTTCCTCAAAGCTTAATTACTAATAGCCTACTGTTCACCGGAAGCCTTACTGATAATAAAGCCGGTTGATAAACCCATATTTTATGTATTAAATAGCGTATTTGTCCAATAAAGTAAGCTAGAGAGAAGATGTTATTAACGAAATCATAAGGAAGAGAAAATACATTTACAGGACTGTACGTAGTTATTGAAAACAATCTGCATGTAAGTGGACCCACACAGTTGAAACGAGTGTTGTTCAAGGGTCAGCTGTATTATCATAGGGGGAAGTGCCCAGGGCTGCACCAGGGTGGGGGGCGGGGGTCCCTCATGTACTTCAGGGGAAGCCGTCCTATCGGACTTGGAAGTCCTCAGGCAAGGGGGGGCGTTGGTCAGGTGCTGCAGGGGTAGGGAAGGGCATTCTGGGCTGAGGAGACAGCAGGCAAAGGCTGGGGTTGGGACAGAAAGGGCTTGCGCGTATTTTGCAATTGTTTGGACCAGGCCGGGACTGGGGTCAGAGGCGAATGATGCTGCTTTGCAGTCACAGTTCAGGACCCTGCTGCTATGACTCATGCTGCTGCTTTCAGAGTCTCCACGCCGGGCTGGGGGACCGCTCACTGCCCACCCAGCCCCACTCCCTGGAAAGCAGGCTTGGACCTCTGGAGCTCTCATGGAGCTGGAGCGGGTCACTTGCCGAGCGCAAGACCCCGGGGAGGAGAATGCTGGGGTCGCAATGGCACCTCCTCTGGGCGGTCGAGTTGGGGGGCAGAAGCCAGTTATGATGTTCTCTGAGGTACCTGCTCTTAGGGCCTGAGACAGGAAGGGTGTGGACATCAGAATACCTTGCGGATGCTAAGACTCATTTTTCTGTAGGAACAGGGCATACTCACTCCCCTGCTCTGAAGGCAGGATGATAGAATTCGTGGCCACTGAGCACGGCCTCCCGTCCCTCCCGTGTGTCTGCATGACCTGCTCACATTCCCAGTCACTTCATGTAGCAGCTGCTGTGGGCGCTGCCGCTAACAGCTGGTACCCGAGACCTTCTCTGGAGGCTTGTCCTTGCATGACTGCGGTTGCCGCACCTTAGAGGTGTCAGGGACTAAACCTCCCTCCCCTAGGTGGCTCAGAGCTGGGACTAACTGGTACAGGTGTGGAAAAGCCGGGCTGCTTGCCTCAAGGCAGACAGACTCTATGGTGCAGCTCGTGCTCCATCCAGAGCCTCAGGCCAGATCTGGCTGAGACTAGACGTCACCTGAAGCCAACTCAGGACAGTAAAACAAGAGCAGGATCCAGACTCTGGAGCCAGAGAGAGTTGAGTTCAGGGCCTGGCTCTGCCGCTTCCCAGCTGTGTGACTCTGAGAAAGCTCCTAAGCCTTTCGGATGGAAAGTTGAGGCTAATATATTCATTNGGGCAGTCCACACTCAGGGGAATCCGCCCAGTTTTAGAATGCGCCCAAGGGAACCCTAAAGAAGGAGGCAAATTGCCGCCGAAAGTGCTGGGATGTCTCCACAGCCAACGGGCCACTGGTTTTCGATGATCTTTGCTTTGCTTCTCTCCACGCGGAGAGGAAATTGCAAGTGAAGGGAAAGCCTGCAGCCCTCTTGTTGTACCCCTTCCCGCCCCACACCCTCAATTAAGAGCCATCTGCTCCTTGAACAACTGCAGACACTCAGTGAGTCTGTTTAAAACCTGAGTCCTCGCTGTCATGGATCGCCTGCCCCCCAATTCCTCTCTGCAGTGGGTTCCCCTGGAGCCCACCTCCTATGTGGAGACCAGGAGCAGCCTACTGGAGGGCGGCCCGCTCTCAGAGGTTGATAAACAGCTCCCTCCCGCCCACCTTCATGGCCGTGCCCCATTGGAAGCAGATGGAACTTTCCAGAAGTCCGCCAGCTTCTTGCTGTTCCCCACCCCCACCCCCCCACGTTATTAGTGGGACATTTGGAAATATAGCCGCTTCCATGGTATTGGCAGCTCAGGCTAAGCAAAGAAATTAAGTCCCCGGGCCCGTCCAGAGCTTCCGCTTTTCCACCAACACCCTCACCCCACCCGCACAATAGAAAACAGCTAATGAGTAACACGCCAGGCGTCAGATTTGAATTTGAGCTTCTTGTGGTCCCTGTAAGTAGTAGGAATCACAGAGGGGTAACAGGGAGAGGGGCTGGGGAGGGTGCGGCTTGGATTAGGAAGCGCTTATTTAGTATCCGCCATCTGCCCAGATGTTTGCGTGGTTTTAGGACGATGTAGAAGGGAAGGCTGGCAGAGCCAAACCTCTCCTTCAGGGACCCACAGTGGCCTTGGTTAGGACAAATGTGTTCTGACGTGCGACAGGCTGCTCAAGCCTGAGGAATCCCACAGGTAACGAAAGATGATGCTCATGCAAAGGGTAGGTGGAGACAGGGACAGGTAGGTGGCTCTAATGAGCTTGTCCACAGATTATGAAGCCTGAGAAATCAGGACCTTCTTGTATTGCGAAGGAGGCTCAATTCTGAAATGAGCCCCGTGTGAAACAATTACGGTATTGAGACCAAACAAACAAACTAATTGCTTGTGTTATTATAATTTGTCATTGTTAAGTCACAGATTGACCAGACAAAGAAAAGAAAAGAAAAGAAAAACTCCACAGAGAGCACTTAGCATGTTACTACTGTGGCACAACTATGATTTTTAGTGCATTCCTTTCCAGCCTTGGGGGTGGGCCTTCGAGGTGGGGGTCTGAGCTGTGCTCTCTGGACATGACAGTCTAAAGCCAAAGTGATACTTAAATTCCCAAATCGCTGTTTTTATCCCTACGGATCCAGCAAGGTTAGTCCGGACAGAGTCGGTCCCGTGTGACATCAACAACCCTCTGCGAAAGCCACCCCGGTATTCGGACCTGCACATCAGTCAGACGCTTCCCAAAACCAACAAAATCAACAAGGTGAGGCTGGGGTTCTGCCGGGCCGGGGCATGCTGGGGCTGCCGCTGCTGGAGAGAGGAAGGTTCTGGAACAGGACTTGGGGGATTGATCCGGGAGCACTGCTCTCCCCTCCCAGCCCAGCTGGGCTCTCCGATTGCTGTGTGGTTGGTGCTGAGTCAACCTTGCGGGGCATCCAGCCATCAGTGGAAAGTGAGTATGCCAGGAAGCTGTGATTTAGGGAGCGGGCGCACGGAAATGAGAATGACTATGCCAAGGGGGGTACAGCAGGGATGGCCAGAGAGCCAGAGAGGGGCTCCTTAGCGGTCCAGACCCCGAACTCTTTGCTCTGCGAGATGTTTTGCCATCTGCCGGGATGAGCTTTGCAGATGGTTCTGGGCTTTCCGACACATCTGTTGAATCGAGCCACCGAGGGACAGGGATCTATTTCTGAGCTTCTGTTGGAGACTGGGTGGACGGATGCATGTGGGGGCCCTGAGTACTGAGCCACGTAGCCAGTTTGTTTGACTTCCAGCTGGTCCTCCGATGCTGGTCAGCAGTGGGCCTCTCTGTGCATCTTTCTTTCCAATCTGGCCTGGAAATTTCCAGTGTAATTTCCACATCCTTTGTTTAGTCTGTTGGTCAGCCTGCACCAAAGCTTCCAGCCCCAGGCCAGGAGCCAAAAGTTACATGCGGGCTAGCAGGCGAGTTCTCAAGCCCCAGAATGTCTCCCTGCATGGTATTGAAGGTGGGTAAAGTACGGAGCAACCCAAGTGTACGGCTGGCCACCAACCTGTGTTCAGGACCATAATGGCTGCGTGACTTCTCACTGGCAAGGCACAGTCTCACTTCTCTGGCTAGAGAGGGCATGGCCCCCTCCCCAATCCATTCTCCACACAGCAGCCAGAGCGATTCTTAATGACTGTCATTTGAATCGCATCACCCTCTGCTGAAAATCCATCCAGTAGCTTTCTAGTGCATTTAAAAAAACAAATCAAACTCTTACTGCAACCTGCAAAGCCATGCATAATTTGGTCCCTCTTTCTGTCTCTGACCTCCCTTTCAATGCCCCCCCCACCACCAAAGCCCGTATGTTCTTTCTATCTTGTGCTGTCACCCTCCATTTTTAATTTACTACTAGGTCTCAGTCATTCACTGTCTGGCTCCTGGTGGCATCATTTTAGCAGTTGAGAGCTTGGCCTCTGCAGCCAGGCAAGCCCGGCAACCAGCCTTGGCTTCCTCTACTTACCACCAGCTGAGACTCTGGGCCAGTCACTCAGTCTCTCTGAGCCTCAGTTTTCCTCTATGTAAAATGGGTATGTTCCAGTTATCTATGGCCTCACAGACAAACCCCCTCAAACTTAGTGTATACAGCAGCGACCCTTTCATTATGTTCGTGGAGTCTGTGGATCAGGAATTAGGAATGGGTGCAGTGGAGATGGTTGGTCTCAGCTCCATGATGTCCAGGGACTCCACTGGGAAAAAATCACACTACCAGGGCGGGAATCATCTAGAACAGGCATTGGAAAACTATGCCTTATAGGCCAAATCCATTTTACCACCTGTTTCTGTGAATCAAGTTGTATTGAAACAAGCCACACCTATATTGTCTATGGGTGTTTTCCAGCTATAGTGGCAGAGTCGAGTCATTCCGACTGAGATCACATGGCTCATAAAGCCTAATATATTTACCATCTGACCATTTCAAGAATAGGATTGCAAACCCCTGATCTAGAGGCCCCTTTCCTCACATGTCTGGTGCCTGGGCTGGGATGAGTCAAAGACTAGGCTCAGCGGATACTCAGTGGGGGTACTTATCATGTGGACGTGCCTCCTGGCTTGGACTGCCTCCCAATATGGCTGCTTCAGCGGAGTCATGTGGCAGCTCAGGGCTTGAAGAACAACTGTTTTCGCAAACAGCAGTAAAAGTCCATGCATTGTCTTGGCTTGCCACTAGCCAAGCATTGGCAGTGTCAGTTCTGTTGTATTCTACTGATGGAAGCAGTCCCAGCCTACTCAAGTTCAAGGGGAGGAAACGTAGATTCCATCCCATTGATGGGAAGAGCCCAAGGAACTTGTGGCCATGTTTAAAAATGTCTGTGGTGGATAATAAATAACACCAACCTCATAGGGTTGTTGTGGGAATGAAATGAAGTCGTCAACATTAAAAGCATTGAGTGCAGTTCCTTGGCACATGGTAAGTGTCAGGGAAATCCTAGCTGTTACCATCAGCTTAAATCTTGGGGCTTCCCATGAAAATCTCAGGTTGGGTCCAAATAACATTCATATAGGTCTCTAGGAGAGGGGTTCCCCACCTCTGGAAGGGATGAGGGGGCTTGAATGGTGAGGCTCCGGGGCAGTAACTGTGCGTGCCTATAACCTATCCTTTGCGACATCTTGGAGGGCCAGGGAGCTCAAAGCCATCTCAAAACCTCTCTCTCTGGCTCTCTATGCAATGAGCCTCTTGGTGTCAGATGGGACAGAAACACGGGTCAGATAGATCAATGGCTGTGACATTGTTCTGCTTGTCTGCCAGCAGGAGAATTTGATAAGAGAAATAAATTAACCTCTATTTAGAAAGCAGCTTTGACATGAGGGTGGACACAATCTGTCTTAGGGCAGGGTTATTTTTTTCCCCTCTTCCTATCCTCACTGGTTTCACGCAGATTCTTTTTGTCAGGCAATGATGCGGTTAGTGCAATAGATATCTGAGCCAATTTGATCTGAAGATTTCCTTTTCATTTCCGTCTGTCTCCTCTCCTGTCTAGCTCGGTCAATCCAGGTTCACAGAGGCCCAGCCTTTTCACCCAGCGTAATGGTCAGAGTGTGTATTTTGGAGTCGGAAGGCTTGCAACTTGGTTCCTTCACTTGCTATGTGATCAGAGCAAGATGTCTCTGCCTCGGTTTTCCCCTCTGTAAAAGGGGCAGAATAATAGGAGATATTATTGGGATGGCAGAGAGGATTCTATGCAGTGATGTGTGTAAGGAATTTAGTCCAACACTGAGCACTCAGGGCATGGAAATAGCTAGATGGTGAGGAAGGCAGAGAATGAGGAAGGGGAACAGAGAGAGGATTAGGAAGAGGAAAGAGAAAGGAAGAAGAGGATGGAAGAGGAAGAAGAAGAGGAAGAGAAAGAGGAAGGGGGAGGTGGACAGCAAGAGGGGGAAAAGGAAGACTAGGAGGAAGAAAGAAGAGGCAGAAGGAGGAAGCGTAAGAGAAGGAGGAGGAAAGAGAAGAAAGAAGAAGGAAGAGGAGGAAGAAGATGGAAAAGGAGATGGAGATGGAGAAGGAGAGGCAGGAGGATGGAGGAGGAGGAGGATGGGGAGGATGGAGGAGGAGGAGGATGGGGAGGANGAGTCAGAAGAAGATGGATTCAAATTCTGGCTCTGTTACTTGCTAGCTGTGTGACCTTGAGCAAGTCACCTCATGTTTCTGTTTCTAGTATTTTCCTCTGCATGAAAGGAATAATCATGCTACCTGCCTGTTGTGGCAGTGAACATTCAAGAAATCAGCACTAAAGCACACAGCCTGGTGCCAGGCTCAGAGTTCTGTCCTCTGCCAAAGGTCACACATGCCTGGCCTCCCTCTCTCCTCCGCAAACGTGTATTAACTACCCGCTTTGGTCCAATTACTGTAAAATAGTCAGTGACGTTCCACTGTATCCAAGAGTTACAAATGACTGTGCCTATGCTTGATTATAGGAGCCACTTAGTTTAACAGATTGTAGGAAGCCGCCTTTCCCTGTAGCCTTGCTCCTCCTTGTCTGTCCATCCCAGGCTGGGATTCTCATTTGGGCTCCTTCAGGCCTCTTGGCATCCCTGCCTCGTGATGATGGAAGTGGGATAGCTGCAGGGGCGAGTGCTCACTCTCTCCCGAGCCTGGAGGTCTTAACCTGATTAATGACGGTAAGGCTGAGGGCTCCCTTCCCTCCTGGAGTTGTGGGAAGGATTAATTAGTTCCCGCCCCTAAGGAGCCTAAAGCCCCGTGGCATAAGGGAAAGAGGGAGCAGTAATTACCAAGCATTCGTGTTTGCAGGCCCGCATCCCACCTTGGTCCTCTGTAGACCCAGGCTCTCAGGTGAGCCTCCAGGTCTTTCTGACTCAGAGGCACAAGGCCAGGCCCTTGGGTTTAACTGGGAGGCTGTCTGATTTCCCCCCATACACCAGCTGCTTCTGGGAGGGCCTGTCTCATCTGTGTGTAGTCACACCCTGTTCTGTGGGAGGAACGGCAGCTTTCACATCCTCACACCTGCACCTGCGGAGTGGAGGCTTTGAAGTCAGGTAATTAGATGACAGGGACACAGCCAGGAGTCAGCAAGGCTGAATACTTCCTGGGACATTTTAATTTTCAGCACTCGAGGCAGAACTCTCAGGTGGCCTTTGCTTCTGCCCTCTGTTCTAGAAGTAATGAGCGAAAATCAGACCCTGCCAAGGGCTGGGGAGGCATGGGGACCTGGGGGAGAGGGGTGGCTGTAAGAAGCTCAGGCTTTAGAAGCAGCCAGAACTGAGTTTGAGTACCAGCTCCACTGCTTGAGCAAGACACTTGTCATCTGGGAGCTTAGCTTCCTTATCTGCAAAGTGGGCATGATATTAGCACCCAGCACAGGACTGGGAAGGAGTCAATCAAATGTCCTTACCCCAGATGACAATGCTTTCTCCCAGAACTTTCCTTCTCACTCCACCTTGTGCAAAAGTGACTCCTGGTTTGAAAGGGGCAGACTTCAAACCAAGCCACGGTTGGAGTGCACCGTTGTTCATACCAATTTGCTTCAGCCCTTAGAAAAACTGCCAACAGGGTGAAAGCAGAGTCCTGTAGTTTCAGCGTGCAAAGCAGAGTCCTGTAGTTTCAGCGTGCATCAGGAATTTTGACATTGTATCTGTGTAACTACAACAGAGTTTAGAGCTATTTCCAGGACATAAGGAGGAGCGTGCATTACTGATGATCACCAGTTGAAGTTTGAACTTATTCTTCTATGAATAGAATCCTACAGCTTTTGCATTAATTATAGTGAGGGTGGACGGTC